GAGGGGTGCCAGGCGCGCCATCTGGTTTTTGCCGTCGTGATTTGTGTTTTCTACATGTACTGGTGGTGGTTGCGCTTTTGTCTGCGGCACCGCGCGTTGCGCTCTGGCTTTGGGCCTCTGCCTCTGTATATGGGTGGTGCGTTTCCTTTCTTTTCTTATTGGCGATGCTGCGGGGGAAGAAGAAGGGGTGCACCGGCATTGTGAGGAAAAGCAAAATAATAGTAATAAGGATAAATAAAGAGGTAATATGTGTGTGAGAGAGTAATTGTGTGTTGCTTTTGTTTGTAAAGATTGACATGGTTCAGTAGAAAAACAAATGATAATTGACAGCGTTGCGTGAAATCTCAATATACAAAGTTTAATATAAAAAAAAAAAACAAATCATCTCACCTGGATTTTATACACATATACAGGCTACGTGGTTGGGTTTGTTTACATGTAATTCAAACCAATTCTCTTTTTTCTTATACATCATATCTCCTCATTTAACATGATATTTGGAAGGAAAGGTTATTTTTCGAAATCTCTTTCAGTTAACATCACTGCCACCCATGAGGGGTGTGAATGAGGGAAAGAGGGATTTGCCACCAGTGTAGAATACAAAAATTAATTTAAAAAAATCACGAGAGTCTGGTTAGCGGACATATATTTCTTTCCTTTTTACTTTCTCTACGAATAACAACAACATCAATGAGAGAAGTTACCCGAGTGAAGTATATAAAATTAAAGTTGCTTTTTCATAAGTATAGAGTACCAAAAATAATACCCGAAAGGTACCAAGACAAAGAAAAGAGCTGCTCCTGTTGTTGGAGGTGGTGGTGCAAAGTGATCAGAGCATTTTGTTTTTTTGTTTTCTTTCTTTGGGAAACTGTTTATGCTTATTATGCGTATATACAGTTGAGATATCTCTCTTACATGCGTTTTTTCGGAAGGTGTGCCACATCAAAGTGTGCACTACTCGGGTCCGCACAGGGATCTCGCAACTCTTTAAAATTCTTTTGTCGTCTCTCTTCCTCCAGTCGCAGTTGTTCTCCCAGTCTCTGTTGCTGTCGCGATGTGCTTTTCATGTTACTTACCATGATGTCCAACATGCGGTGAATATCAGCTGCCCCTTCTCTTTTTATCGTCTCGCGTTTTTTGTACCATCTCTCTGTCCACTTTTTCCACAAGAGAGTAACATAGGAAGCCATAGCAGATCCCTTACAGAGTTGACTATTCAAAATACGTTTTGTACGTAAATTTGTTGCCACTCTCTGAAACAAAAGACGTGTAGCTCTTCTATTTCTCCTTTCCTCCTCCGATCGTAAATGTCGAATAACTGATGCCATCCATGGTGCCATTGGTTGTCCACTTTGCAAAGACTTTGCGGTTTTTGC